ACATTGACGGTAGCAACGGCCTTGAGGTGTTGCTATCCGGTGAGACGGCGCCACAGGCGGCCTGGCTAGCCGAGGTGCGTCGTGACTTAGCTGATCGACACGCCGAGTTCAGCTTTCTACAAATTGCGCTCTGGCGTCAGACTGCCGGTTTACGGACGCCGGTTCGAGGCAGTGGCAAGTTGAGCCGAGCCGGGACCAATGGCAAAGTCAATGTGGATGTCAGCGCTGAGAGTGTGATGCTATTGCCAGGTGACTCGGGCCAGTCGAGGGCGCCCAACGATGCCGGCCTCCTGTTGCGCTATCTCTATCCACGCATCACACGATCCGGACAGACCATCAGTGACGAGCTCGACCGATTACGTGGCGTACAGACACAAGTTGACCGACGTCATGCTCAGTTGACCCAGCAGATGCGTCGTCGACGCGGCCAGTTGGTTGATGGCTTGTTGGCGGGGCACATCGCTGTGCAGACTTTGCTTGAAATGGCCGAAAAAAATGACAGTCTCATCGGTCGACTTGTGAAAGCAAGACCTCTTTTTGCTCAACTTCGACGTATCATCATGGCCGGACCCGACGATGCGATCACAGCCCTACCGACCTCGCGGTCCAAGCCCGAGTCCGAGGAGGAAGAGGATAAAGATGGGGGAGAGATGAGGAACGGGTACAGCACGGCGTGACCACTACATGACCCCACAAACGGATCGTCTTCAGAGTCCGAGTGTCACTTACCCCGACTGACTTGTAGCCAAGGAGGTAGGCTCGGCACTGTACTTGCCTATGGCCCCACCTTGGGCCACCTCCTCACGTTAACATTAACATTAGCATTCAATATGCCCGGGCGAAACAATAGAGAGCCCAGTTACATGGCAACATTCGACTTTTTTTGCCAGTTGAAGGTCACAAAAACGTCTATTTTTTATTCGAAAACATCTTATTCTCTAAACAGACACCATCAAGGCAGAAGCTTTTTCCTTCAAAAAGGCTAGTCTGCAAAGCACCTCTCGGTTTGCTTTAGACCTTTCAGTCCAAAAAGTCTCGTCACTAGGACTTTTTTGAGTATCACATTAACTCGAGGAAGAAGTTGTTATCCTAGATAGAAAGACCTTTTTTAACCACATTTTTAAGGATAAACTGGGACGTGGAATGTTCTTACTTTATTGCCATTTTTTCGCAAAAGATGGAGAGGATACTAATAAAGGAGTTGGGAGATTATTAGACTTAATTCCCCTTTCAAACGGGTCATAGTAAGCCGGAAAAGCAAAAAATGGAGGAGTACGCAGTTCAGGTGGAATACATTCCTCAAATTTAGCCTAATACTCTTGTAGAGATTTAATTGTATTTTATTATTGGTACTACCGACTTTCCATCTGAGTAGTATGATTGTTTTATTTGAAAAATTGGCAAAGAAATAACTGTAAAAATGTGTTGAAGGGGGTTGACATCATTTTTGCAGCATGATCGTGTTGTCAGGGCACCTAGTTGAACGCGCCTTGGCCGAAGTTCTCTGCTACAGTAGTTATCATAGTTTCCAGCGCCTTTATGCCGACATCATCATTAAGTCTTGCCATTATCAGCACCAATCTCAGCTACAACTGGTCAAAAGACAAGTGTTATTAATCCTTTGACCAAACTTTCTGGCGAAATGGTTGTGTTATCACTCCACTTTCTGTCCTGGCTCACCTATTTACTCCTCTAATCACATTAAGGCCCTATCACAACCTCTGACAGCGCGACCAAGTTGCGAAAACGAGACAAGGAGATTGCCACTATGTGAAAGACCACACCATTTTGATCTTCACAGCTTTGCTTAAAAATGTGGTTATAAAAGATATTAAATGGAATGCTTGTCTAGAAAAATATGAAAGGCATTTGAGCCGTCTTGATATCCTTTTTTTCGAAAATTTTGGGAAACTATCTACGGATTCGGTTAACATGAGTCAGAGAAGTGTCCATTCAGATTGAATATTCTAAATGGAACGGTCTGAAACAAACAAAGCCCTGGCCTTGCAGACTCGCTATCTCGCTGCCACATAGACGGGTGAAATTATCCATTTTTAATTTGTTGAAATGCCTGCCGAGCTTAAATCAGCCTCTGACTGGGGATAGTTCATTGAAAAATTTTAGCTCGTTGTGCAAGCAACTGAATATGATAAACTGCGCTAAGCTTTCGTTTTTACAACCGTGACAGACATAATTAGAACAGGTTTCCATACTCCACGAAATAGAGCAAAAAATATACTAAACTAAGAGAAAAGGTGGCCGGTTACAACCCTAGTCGCTTTCGTATAGGCCTAGCATCGCGATTTTAACGAGGCATCCCATGATTTGGCTGGCTACTTCAAACTTACTCTACATTCTTGCAAATAAGTGCAGTTACTTCCCGAATAATAAGTGCATTTCCGTGGCAACTGCTTTCCTACACATATAGATTAGTGTACGATCCTCTGATCAGGAATTATGCTTGGGCTTGGATTATTGTCTATTGCGTGTATGTAATGTTTATGTCATAGTTAGATTCAAGACTAATCAGCCTCCTTCTCTTGTTCAGTGGCTCTTCTTGCTCTCCCTCTCTTTTCCTCTCCTTAGACCTATCCACTCGGCACTCTGAAAAGAGCACCTTTTGAAAAAGCAAAGCTATGTAACATTCAATGGAAAACATCAACTTCATTGTAGTAAAATTCAACTACCAGTCCTTCATCACCTTAAACGAAATAAGCTGAACACAATTTTTATACAATTGTCTACTAATTCTAATAGATAATTATTTTGAAGCTGTATATGCCTCATAGACCAATCTTCTGGTCCCTGTTGCTTCCATCTGTTAGGCTCAGATTCCTTATTATCATAGACTTTTTAACTCCTATTTTGACTTTTTATGTATGGCTAGCGAAATAATTAGAGAGGAAATCTAATTTATTACCTTCCTTGCTTACTAATACATCCAAAAAAAGGCAATGTATTTTCCTTTTATAACTCCATGTTAAAATTATTAAATCATTGAGGTATTCTTCAAAAACATTTTTTTCATATCCCAATATCCCATATTGAATGCTACCTTGTCTCGGATCTGGGATCTCAAGATGACATGAAACCATTGACATAGGTTGCACTACAAACGGATTACTTTTCTGGAAGTGGCTTCATGAATACGGTTAACTTTGCTTTATTATGCTTCCATTTATGCGTCCTCGGTGCATTCCGCCTCTACCAATTGGCCATAATCTATGTTTGATATGGTCTCATTTAATTCATTTGAAACCTATGTTGTGCTTGCGGCTGATGGACAGAATTGAATCCGAAGAACATGTTTACGTTGGACCAAAAAATCCACTCCTTGCAATTTGTTTGAAATAATGTATAGACTACTTTCATAGAATATGACCAACTGATCATCAGTAAATCGTTTATAACTGATCATCCATCAGGGAATATTGAAAGTACTTAGTCAACCTAAGTAGATCTAATACCGATAGAAGAATAGTGTCCACGAAGGTTTTACTCCAGCTCACTTGGACATGCTTCCCAAATGGAATTTTAATTGTGCCTAGAGATCCGTTTAGATTTCGTCTAGCTTTTGGCTCTTTTATTTCCAACTTGGCTATTTAATCTACTCGTAAGTAACCTGTAATACAGTCTCGCTTCTGAATGACCCAAGTTAACGGAAAAATTTATTACTTATGAGTAACTTGTGGCAAGGTTTCTCTTTTTGAATGACCAAAACTAAAGAAAAGTAAATTCATTCACGAATACAAGAGAAGTCAAAATAAAATTTAACTGCTATATTTTGTTACATAGAAGTTGTTTGACCTTGTTTTCGAAACTTGATCATATTGCTAGGAAGACTTAGAGGAACGCACCTATTCCGGGGTCCATTGTATGCATGACTTGTTACATTCCCAAACGTTTGCTAGACATTGATATGCTTGAGCATTAAGAATATAGACGACAGATTCTTGAACACAGTGAATAATTAATATGAGTTTTGTCAAAGGATCCAAAATATTGGACTAGCAAGGACGGAAATGTTTGTAAGTTTTGACGTCCAATCCATGTCACAAGTATATCAGGCAAGAAGACAATCGCCGCTCTGATGGAGGTCTTGCGACGAAAGGAGGATATCCTGGAAGCATAGAGGATACGGAAGGAGTCGTTAATACGACTAATCAACCTGACAGTAAGTACTCCATATTTTATACTCAACAGCACTATTTATGAGTAAATATTTGGACTATCGATGGGATCGCCACTCTCACCTACTTTGGACAGATTGGAGAAAGAATTCGCGAAGTCACCCTTGCAACTAAGAGTGCTTATGCGATGTCTGAACGACTAAGTGCACTTTGGTCGCATGGTTAAAAAAAGTTGGATTAATTCCTCAATTTTATAAATTGACTTGATGAAAGAATCAAATTCACACTAGAGATGGAGGAGGATAAATGTCTAATCCTCCCGGATATTTAGGTCATTCGCTCCAACGGAATACTCAAAAGGACACTATTCAGAAAGAAATCATATACGGGAATAATCCTCAATTTCGAGTCTCCTCACAACTACAGACTGATCATCAGAGGCTTGAGACTAACGGACACTGAGTTCTGGAACGAGGAGTTGGAGAAACTGACTTGGATTTGTTTATTAACGGGTACACAAGAGAATTTATAGAAATAAATATGGAGGTCATAAAAAGCAGATTTCAAATAGGATTGTACGAAAATAAGATCAGAAATCAGGAGGACGAAAAAAAGTGGATATGCCTGCCTTCCTCTGAACTGAGCTAGAAATAGCAAACGTTGCTAAGAAAATAAAATACCTAGATGATAGCAAAAGAAAAAACAACACTCGTAACAAGCCTGCCGATGCAACACGAGGTTGATAAGCTGGATTGCTTAAGAGTTTATAGCATCAAACGCGGCAAATGTGAGCAGAGGTATATTGGTGAAACAGGAAGAAAAATTAGCCTACGAATCAAGGAACACAAAAGAATCTGTCGAAACATGGACACTGAAAGATCCGAAATAGCAGAACATATCGCACGGACAAGACACGAAATAGAGTGAAAATCGAAAGAAAGTCTGGCTGCATATGATGAAAATACAAGAAAACGTAAGCTAAGAGAAGCCAATGTTATCCTGACTAAAAGAAACCCAACGAACAAGAGACTTGAAGAAGGCAGGATTAGCGAAAACTTTGCATACTGTTCAAACAATCTCGGAGAAGATCAGGGAACAGGAATATCAGCAAAAAAGAAGAAGACTGGACAAAGGTAATACCCTTACTTTTACGAGTAGAACCATCAGATTTGGTGGTTGGCACGCAATATAATTTCATAGAAGTGCGAGAGAAACAGTAGTGTCCATTTCTAATTGGCTATTAGTAGATAACCTTGCTCATAGAGGCGGCCCATGAAGCAAAGCTTGACCACAAGATTTACTAAGTGCATACGCCTCCCAGCGATGTGGGAAACTGTAGCGTCAAATCAGGTTGCCATGCCAATTGATAATCTAGACTTTTGGGGCTTGCTCAGTGAGGCTGGTGTATACGTCCTATCAAGTGTAGAGTGTAGAACATAACGCCTTATGTAACATGGATACGCTGGCAGCGATGGGGTGAAATCACTAAAACAGGCAGATTAATGGACCCTGATATTTCCCGAAGAGAGAGGATTGCGGCTTAAATC